ACAGATGCTGCTCATTGTGGGATTTGCCATTGTGTATATGGTGCTGCTACTGGCACTAGAAAATGTCACTGTTGTTGTGGTGGGACTGCTTTGAGACTTATTGCATGTAATGCGTTGAATTTCTGATCGGCACTCGTCTCTAATCTTACTAGGTAATTTTCCAGCTATTGAGAACATTTTTTCATGATCAATCTGCTTCTTTATAAGCTGAGAGTCATCGAAACTGTTTTCATTCATTGTTTTTATATTGTCTTAATATTCAGCAAATAATTTGCGGGCCCAAATGTCCGGAACAGAGCATAAACAGTTCGGTTTTACTGATAAGCAAAGTTTGTTTACCTCTTGTGCAGTTCTGCGCGGGGTGAGGTAGATGACTTGCCCGAAGGGCAGAAAGCACCGTTTGAATGCACTTCACCTGATGCACTTTTTGTTTTTGTCAAACTGCCGACACCGCTCAAAGCAGCGCCCAAATAAATGATTTGTGCTATTTTGAGCACAAAAGGGAATGCACCGATAAGCAAAAAATAAATCACTTTTGCATGCGCGCGACACAACCGATCTCTTTGACTGCCAGAGTAGGAATCAACCACACTACACAAAAATGTATTTCATTACAACACAAAAGGTTTCGCTGTGACTCAAACATTATCAGTAACTTTGGTGTTTAGCGCTATGACCTTTTATTTTTGTTTATTTGCTTTGTAAATTGATAAATAAAATATTCGTTATTGTCGAGGTGTCTATTTGCCTACTTAAACAGTTATTGTAAGATGTAATTAAGATATATTTATGCAATTTTATTTAATGAAATCGAAAAGATTTGGAATTATGCATTATTTATTATTATTTCGCGTTATTTATTCAATTTAATTTAATGAAATCGAAAAGATTTGGAATTATCATAAGCGCTACTTACCTAATTTCTCAGCATGCAGGGTTACTATGTGGGAAACGACTTTGGCGTTGAACCCTGAACTATAGGAAACAACGAGGGCGTGTTCTAATTGCGTAAATTGATTGCCTGCAAGGCGTTGGCGCTTTATTTTAAATCAATCAGGGCACAGTATTGTCTCGGCCATCCATCGCCATCGCCATCGCCATCGCCATCCCGTCCTATCCGCATCTGCATCGCCATCGCAATCTTAATTACCGCCAGCCAGGCCGGCGCCTCCTTGGCGCTTGAGCTCCAGCTGCGTGCCGAGCTACCATGTCCGATAGCAGACAATTGATGAGCGGCCATAATTAAGGCCGTAATGGTAATGGATGGGCTGGGGGCGTTGTCTCGAGTCTCCCTTACGCCTGATTGGATCGAGGGGCTCAGACTTGGTCCGGCCAAGGATTGAGCGCTCTAAACTGTGATAAACTGAGCTAGAGGCAATCGAGGTCAATATGGAAGGTCTATTAAGTGTTTTGATAACTTTGATTTAAAGCAGGCTTATCGCTTATCTGGGTCATTGATCTCCTTATGGCCCGAATTCCCAACGGCTTATTCAGAAATAGGCATTAACTTTAGGCATAATAATAGATGATTTTCGTTTAGAAACTATGTATGTATTTATATGTATGTCACACTCTGATTCTTCAATGGATTTGTGTTTTTAGTTTGTTGTCCCAATGTCAATCTGTGTGTTTCGTGTCCCAAAGTTTTCCGTCTTCAGTTTTACAATTAATCGTTGTCTATGTGTCGTGCGTAAACGTAAAACTGTCTGTACCAGTGACCTAAGATCTATAAGCGCTTAACCTATTATATATACCGATATACCAATATACATATTGCTCGCTTTCTCTTTCTCCCCGTATGTATGTGTGAGCTGCAAACTGCTCCTCAGTATTCGATTTCAAATTCAAACGGCGACCTTCGCTAAAAGTGCTCATGACCAAACTTCCGTCCACGGACAGTTTGAGCAACAGTCCGGCGCCATCATCGCCAGGTGAAGTTCCAAAAAAAAAATTTAATTTCCAGCACAGTCAAAAAGTAGACCGATACTCTCATTTCAATCCGTCATTCATCAACTCTTAGTTTCCTTTATACTTTAGTTATCTCTTCAACTATCATCCATCGCTTTAATTTGGAAATCATCAATTAGTTATCGCCAAACTTAGCGGCAGGTTTTCATCTTTGCCATCAAGGCTAAACCCATTTTCCCTGATTTTCGTCTCATATTTAGCTTTGCCTTTTTAAAATTCTGTTCGCATGTTAGTAATTATATTCACGAACTGAGATCTGATCAACTATTGGGTTATACAACATCCGCCGCATTTTAGCATCCATCATCAGAAATAAAAATATTTTAAATAAGCGGGTCGGCACGATCCTAAGACCCATCTACCCATCCTCGGCTTGGAATTTTAAGTTCTATCTATGTATTAGTTATACAATCAGCACGTCCGTAATGCTCATGGCTATCACCTGATCTTCCCGCATACCAATAGAACCTGGCTAAAAGCGAACTTCTATGCATTTCCGTATGGCAGAGTTCCGTTTCGCCACGAGTACCCCACCCAAGAAAACCCCTTGCCAACCCAGCCATGCGTTCCGATTTTGGTGTGACGCACTTCGGCTTTTATTTTTGTTTAGAGCTTTTGTTGCGCTTTTTGCTATTGTTTTTGGCGCATTATTATCAAACAATTTTGCGATTGCTCGGCGCGAGAGTATGATTAATAATGCTTAAAGTGTCCCACCACTCAACTTCTGCCCCATGTGGATAAATGCTTTCATGGCAATCATATCTTATCACCCCAAAGTTATAACGTTCATAACAGTTTTACAACCTGAAAGTTGTGCTATATGTACATGGAAAAAACCCTAATCGGTTTGCTAATAATAAAATGGTCAAGGATTGCTCCCATGAGCTTTTAGAAAATCGATTGTGTCATCCATGTGGTGCCTGATCCTTTGGACCCGAGTTATGACAAATCATTTCCCTCCCGGCTAACGTTCTCACCTTATCTATGGAACTCCTCATGGCTGATAAGATCCACAGACATGTTCTGATTTCAGTGATGAGTAATAGTCAATACTTAGATATCAGCTCTGCACACCTGGCCGTATGGGGGATCCTTTTCTTTTCATGACCCCCAAATATTCAACAGGTTGTAGGCATTTCTAGCTATGCTAGAAAAGCTTATCTGAGTGACATAATTATGATATATTTTGCAGGTGTTTCAGAGGGCTTTGCCACATTTATTCATTGTCAACAGAGCCTTGTCAAACAGTAAGTCACAGAAAATAGGTCGTAAGTCTCCGGAATTATCTTTACTGGTTCCGAAAATGTTTTATAACTTTCTGGAATTGGGCTAAATTTTGGTCTATGGCTTTTATCGTGTAAATGATGTCATGCGGAGTTTAATCCCATTTATAAGACTATATGATACAGCTAGGTTGCATATCTCGATTCAAATGGGTTCTATTACATTACAAAATCGAATATAATAATATTGATCACGACATTGAAAGCTATTCTGCTCTGCATTCAACCATGGAAGCTCCGCATTGGGATAGGTTAAGATGATCTTATCGCGGGGAAGCTCAAATAATCCGCCTTACAGGGGGTCTAGCACTTTCAAGATCTTGATGGTGAGATCATAAAGCAGTTAGACTCGCTAATAGCCTCATACACAGTGGTCGTCGGCAGCGGCTGCCTCTCTCTCGTATGGATATATAAGATATATGTATAAGATATATATGATTTGGCTCTCCAAACGCAGTCGGCGTTGATATCGTTATCTGGGCAGAAAAAGCACACACAGTGTCTATATAGCTACGCATGAGTGTGGCGAACTGGCTGCTGCCGCTGGCAGAAGCGGCGACTGCGATGATCCTCTCATTTGAGATATTTTGGCTTGGCAAACATCGTCTATATCTATCTGTTTTGTCAAAAATATATGACGAAAGCCAGATAATTGCTGTAGTGGGGCCGTAGTGGGCTGGTGGGCTGTTGGGCCTCTGCCGCTGCGCTGCCCTGCTACTTTTGTCATTTTCCGCTGGCGCTTTTGTTGTGTTAGTGCTTTGTGTGCGTGTTTGTGCGCGTTTCGAGCGGCAGACTCAATATATCTCAATCAGTCGGCGAGCGGCCAGCGGACGAGCGGCAGGCGGAAAATTGAACAAAAAACTAGACAAAATATAAATAAAAAGTAAAATAAACCAAGCAGAGGTCGGCGTCTCTGAATCGGTTCTCGCAACTCGCATCACGCATACGCCATGTAGTGCCGACTTGTGAAACGTGAACGTGAATGGGCGAAACACAACAAAATATGCAAAAATAAATAGAAACACAATTTGGAAATACAGTGTGGAGCGGTGTCGCCTGGTCATGAATCTCCTACAAAGCAAGTGACAATATTTAAGCCAAGTGTTCGCAGGGAATTGTAATTAATTCCTCGAGTTTTTCTCGCTCATGTGTGGTTTTGCATACTAAGAGACTGTCTTTTTTCGGAGGCCTTTATTTATAGCCGAGCAATAAAAATAATTAATAAGAATGCGAAAGACGCGAGGGCAGCGGTCGTTGCGATGATTAAAGTGCAAGTGCGAGATACTTGACAATGCCAGAGAGTTCTCGAGACCCCAAGACCTCAAGACCTCAAACACAGAGAGCATCTTTTCCCCGATGAGGTTGTACCGAGTGTGTGTGCGGCTCTGTATCTTGCTAAATAAAATAAAACATATTTGTAAAATAAATAAACCGCTGCCCCTTGGGCATCGCACCTTGAGACATTGTGCGCGGTTTTCCTCTCTGGTTCTAGTTCATTATGCTTCGTACTTTTCGCGCTTTTCCATGTTGTTGCGCCTTATGTTTGGTCTCGTTTTTTGGATTGGTAGATAGGCGATGAAATAGTTTCCAAAAACAATAGAAATCTACTACTTCATTGCTAGATCGATTAGATACTTCTCGGAATTCAGAGCTCAAATCATCATGTTTGCTACAAGCATCGTACACACACAACTCCAATGATACTTGGATCCTAACCAGAAAACAAAACTATGATCTTTCGTATTACAGGAATCGCCAATTGGGCCTCTGACAATCGGGATGGCAATCTGGCAGATAAGGCAAGTAATCTATAATATGTAATACCGCACCAAACTATATAAATGAATTTTGAGTCGTTAAATCGTGTCGTCTGTGTACGAAATCTGGGTTATTTATGGGGAGGGCACAGTGATAAGAGTTGCTACGCTTCGTTGTTGTCTAATTTAGTTATAATCGATTGGCTGGCGGTGTGATAAATAGTAAGAAATATACATATGCCTGGGTTCCGGCGCAGGCCACGTGTCGAATTCTGGCAAAAAGGTGACACATTTTTTACTTTTATCCAGTAGCTAAGCAAATTATAAATGCTAATTAGATTAACAATGCGTTTCGGATTTCACCTTCGAAAACTTAAAGCCTAATGGCAATTCTAGCCGAACTTTTGACGCAAGCGCATGCTAAATTGGCCGAAAAGCGAACAATATTATTACGAAATAGGGCAATGCATTTGAAGTATATGAATATATTTCACTGCTGCATGGCGACAAAGGTTCTGGCTGGCATATATATTCATATTGTGATTCATATTTGGGTTTAATTTAAAACACTTTACCGTTCTCCAGTCCGCTGCTGATGCCGCCAAACTCAACAGGAAGGAATCCTACAAGGCACAGAGGAAGAACTACAGGCGGGAGAAGAAGCGAGTGGCCAGTGAGCTGATGAACTCCCTGCAAGATCCTGCGGTTATAGTGCTGGCCGACTGGCTAAAGGTGAGCCTAACAAGTATGGTATCCCATTTGCATTTAGTAATTTCAATGTTATTTAGGTTCGTGGCACTCTGAAGTCCTGGACGAAACTGTGGTGCGTTCTGAAGCCCGGCCTGCTGCTCATTTACAAGAGCCAAAAGACCAAGAGCAGCCACTGGGTGGGCACGGTGATGCTCACCTCCTGCCAGGTGATCGAGCGCCCGAGCAAGAAGGATGGCTTCTGCTTCAAGCTCTTCCATCCCCTGGAGCAGTCCATTTGGGCGCCGCGAGGTCCCGACAAGGAAACCATTGGTAAAAAGATGTTTAATGATTGGTTCCATAGTTCCACGGGGCAACCAGAATTGGTTTTCTGAATTCTCTGACTTTGGCTAACAGTTTTCGAAATATATTAGCTTTAATTTATGAAAGTATAAATGGTATATATAACTGATGTCATTTTGTGATATTAAAGTTAAAATTTCCATTTACGTAATGCCTGTGTGATAATGAAAATGATGAAACCGCATCTCCTTAAGGCTATTACTAATTTCGTGCTTCTTTAAGGTGCCGTGGTCCAGCCGTTGCCAACCGCTTACCTGATCTTCCGAGCTCCCAGCCAGGCGGCCGGCAAATGCTGGATGGATGCCCTGGAGCTGTCCCTGAGATGTTCGGCGCTCCTGTTGCGGTCCAACAGCAGTACGGGAACTGCTCCAACGTCCAGCTACATGGGCGAGCCCCTGCCCGTCTCCCATGAGACGCAGTGGTCGGAGGCGGACTACGAGAAGCACTTCAACGATCACGGTAAGTGGGCGCAGTTCCTGGCACTGCCATCGGCCGAGGTGGACACTTCGCGCTCCGACACCAGCCTGTCCGCCCCGCGGACACCCACTCCACTGCTGCAGCAGCTGTACAGCAGTGCCGTTAGCAACTGGGAGCGCACCAAGCGTCTGCCGCGTTTCGGCCACCAATCGGAGCAGCGAAAGACCTCGTACAGCGATGCCTCCAGTGCGGAGCAGGGCATGGGTGTCGGACTGAGCATGCTTCAGCGCAAGCGGCGCCACTTGAGCCCCATGAGCAAGTCCATGTCCCTGGGAGCTACTCTGTGCAACAGCAGCTCCAGCGAGGATGAGGACGAGGGCTATAACCACAGCCAGACGGGCTTGCGTCCTGTGAGCGCTCCGCCCGATTGTCTAATGATGCCGCGCTTTCGTCTGAACGTGAAGGGTGAAAACGCCCCCTCTTTGCTGTTGTTTAGTTTAGATGTTCATCGTTGGGGGAAGCATATTAGAAGACTATTTGTATTTTGAGTGATTCTTACGGATCCAAACAGATCCAAGTTTTACGCTTATATATTTTTTTTATTGACAACTTTGTAAAACCTAGTGAGTCAGTCATTAACAATGCAAATGGTACATTTACTGACACGAACAAGAATCAGTTACTGTTAATCTTGATTTTTATAAGCATTTTCATGCCATTTGAATAGTTTGTAATTGCTATAGGCAATGTTTATTTCCAAGACTTCCAATTTGTTTCCCCCACCAAGCTAGCTAGTTATCATCAGAGATTATACACACATAGTAGCAGTGGAATTAATGGTTCAAAATTTGTGTTTTGTATAATCACCGCCTGGCATAGGGACCCAATTTCCCAACACTTTTCTTCGATTTGATCTATGGTTACTTATGGTTAATCCTAGCGCTAAATACCCCTTACAGTATTCTGCTTTTGTGCCCGTGCGACAGGTGGCAAATGATCACCTGATTTTCGCCAGATTCAGGCTGCTAGAGAAATGTCGGTGATTTATTTTCCCCTGTTCCTACAATCCCGTCTCACCTGCTTGAATGTCTTTCCAGATTTGGACGCAGACAGCCAGAATGAAGCACCCAATGCCGTCATGTCTGGTCTGGAGTCGGAATCCGAATCGGATCCGGCAGAGCCGGCGCAGGAGGATGGCGTCGAGCAGCAGTGTGTGGAGACCTCGTATGCGCCCTTCACTGAGGAGGAGTTTGGCGAGGTGGGCTAGCAAGTTCTTTTCATTAATTAATCTTCTAATCAATAACTATTTTTAGCAAGGGGAGCAGGTAGAGGAGTTGGCAGAGGAGAACAAGAGCCTAATTTGGTGCATTGTCAAGCAGGTGCGACCGGGGATGGATTTGAGCAAGGTAGTACTACCCACATTTATCCTGGAGCCCCGCTCATTCCTGGACAAGTTATCCGACTCGTATTACCATGCGGACTTGCTCTCTAAGTGCGTGTGCCAAGTTTACTCATAAGATCAACGCTATATCAGCTACTAATCATTTTTCGATCGCAGGGCCGTCCAGGAGGATGACGCCTTCACACGCATGAAACTAGTAGTGCAATGGTACCTGTCAAGCTTTTACAAGAAGCCCAAGGGCCTGAAGAAGCCCTACAATCCGATTCTGGGGGAGAGGTTCCGGTGCTATTGGCAGCATCCCAGTGGCAGCCGAACCTTTTACATTGCAGAGCAGGTGTCGCATCATCCGCCCGTGTCGGCATTCTACGTGACGAACCGCGAGGACGGCTTCAGCATCACCTGCTCCATCCTGGCGAAATCGAAGTTCTACGGCAACAGCACTTCGGCGGTGCTTGAGGGCGCTGCCACAATGACGTTGCTGCCGCGCGGTGAGTGCTACACGGCCACAACGCCGTACGCCCACTGCAAGGGCATCCTGATGGGCACGCTCTCCATGGAGCTGGGTGGCAAGATCAACATCGAGTGTGAGAACACCGGTTACAGGACGGAGCTGGAATTCAAGCTGAAGCCGTTCCTCGGAGGAGCGGACGCCACCAATGTGGTAGTCGGCAAGATCAAGCTGGGCAAGGAAACGCTGGCCACCATCAATGGTCATTGGGACAAGGAGTGTCGCGTAAAGGACTCCAAGACGGGAGAGGAAACGGTATTGTTCAAGGTGGATGCAGAGACACGTTCCAAGCGTCTCACCCGGTACATGGTGCCGCTGGACTTACAAGAGGACAACGAATCACAGCGCCTGTGGCAGCGCGTCTCCGAAGCGATTGCCCGTGAGGATCAGGTTGCTGCCACAGAGGAGAAGACCGTACTGGAGGAGCGCCAGCGAGCCGATGCCAAGGAACGGGTCAGCTCCGACTCTGTCCATATGCCCGACCTCTTCGAGCTGGACAGCTACGGTCAATGGCTGTACAAGTACGCCGATCTGCGCCCCTGGGACTCGCGCAACGATGTCCGCCAGTACGAGTGCCAGTTCAAGGTGCTGACCCAGACGCGTCACAAGTCCGTGCCCATTGTCCATGGGGTCGAGATGATTCACCCCCTGCGCAGCTCCATCGAGACATTATCTCGCACCAAAAGACAATCGCCAGCCGGACAGCCCTTACAGCCGGGCGGCTCCGTGGTGCCCAAGGCCAAGAATAAGAGCTTGGTGCTGGCGCCGCGCGACACCAACTCGGACTCCAGTCAGTCGCCGCAGGGAGCGGTCAAGCGCAGCTCCTCCAGCGCCATTAAGCAGTGAGTGGATAGTAAACCGAAACTTTGCTAAAAATTTTATTTTTAATTGTCCGTTTCCGTAGACTTGCTTTGGCCGTGGACCAGGTGAACCGGGTGCTGGAGCTGCACACCCGGCAGCTGAACGAGATCAGTCAGCGCCTGGAGCGCATGCAGTACTCGCCCCCGCCTAGTAACATGAGTGCGCATTCGGTTAATTTATTGGGCGGCGGCGTGTCGCAGTCGACGGTGATCAAGTCGCTAATCTACGCTCTGATCGGGCTAACCTTCAGCCTGATCCTGCGCTGGCTGTTTAAGTAGATTGGCGAAGTCGTTGTTGGTGTCATTCGTTTAGGATTAAGAAAAGTTTTGGTCAACCTAGAGATCCCACATATATATATATATATATATTCATACACACCCTAGAGTACAGACAACGTATATACTTTATTGAATTGTACATTTGGTCCTACTCAAATGCCTTCGCACGCTGCCAGAAGATTTAAACCCGACCGAGGCGCGTGGCCAGAACATTCGTTGTAAGAAAGTCTAATCACGAACTATGTCTAGGTTTAAGTGTTTGCCGTATGTAAGTCCCAGCAATCCAAGTCTCTCCCGCAGACAAAGTCCATGTGCAAATCTCTTCCCCTTTAGCCCCGGAAATTCTTTTCGCAAGATAAAACGTCTGGGTAGGTTAGGATGTCGGAGATATACATTAATATCAAAATATACACATACGTACGAGTAGATGCACCAGATTTCGTAAAAATTCCAATTTAAACGATGCTACTATAAAGCTAGTTCGCTTTTCCTTTCCTTCGATAGACAGTTAATATTAAATCACACGATTTAGGGTGAACGATGAACGAACAATGCTCGAGAGGCTCTCTGCCCCATAAAGCACCACTTATACACAGTGCAACATACCTTAGAGATTTAATGCGAAGAGTGCTTATAGTAATTACTTTTAGTGTCTCTTATACACGAACTGTTTTTCCTCTTCCCAATACCTGCATACTTAGAATTTAATAAATTCCCCATTTCAAATCAAATCAGACGTGTTTTTGCTTCTGGGCATAGTGGTAAATTAAAGTTGTGAAAATTGGGAAAATTAAATGATTGCTGCTAAAAATTGCGTTTATCAATATTCTTATCAGTTTAATAAGAACTATAGTTACAGTTTCTGTTTTGCATGTTTTATTGTTGTTTTAGCTCTTCGCTTCGCTTACATTTACAAGTAGTTTATATATATTCATATATATACTATATATTCTCTACAACATTTACGATCGATCTGTATCAATTCAATTATAGCTGGTTTTATTCGTTTTACTTTTTTCTCCTCATCGATTCACTTAATTTAGGGACTCTTGTCTCTCTGTTTTCTAAGATTTTGTTCTATAAGCAACCCGGTTTTCATTCTTTCGTTCATTAAATGTATTATTGATTATTTATGCGATCGCCTTTGCTCCGCGTGTCGTCATGTGAGTAGAAGATGCTGCTAAATATGCGCTAAGAGTACACTTATATATAGTTGCTGTTTTCAATTTCCGTTCGGTTCGGTTCGGTTGCGATGACGCTTTATGTAGGTTTAGAGCGGGCGGGATTACACATAGTATAGCAATAACTAGTTTTACTTTTAATTAATTTACTTTACTTTGCTGGCGGGCTTAACATTTAACACGACGAGAAAAGCTGAGCGAAGCCGATACTCGGAACTAATTGGTAGGGATCGGGGGACTGGGGGCATGGGTGACAACAGTTGCGGAGGAGGAGAGCTGTAGTGTGGATCGATTTGATTTCTAAAGAAGCTTCGGTGCTAAAGAAATCTTAATAGCTCTACCATTTGGCCTTTAAACAAATTTCATAACTTGAATTGTACCAGTTGTAAACAATCCTTTTTAAGTAAGATGCTCCTTGTGAAGGAAATATAAAAGTTACTAATTATGCGAGTGCTAAGAATACAGTCATAAAAGGTTATTGCGCAAAGTAGGTCACATCCAAATTTATTGTAGTCATTTTGCTTGCTATTTAAAAACAGCAACCCAACTTAAGAGGATATCAATGTTTCATTTACAAAGCTTTGGAAAGCTAGAAATTGATGGATATTAAAAGAAAATAAAAAGTTTTAGACTAAATGGCGTTGAAGTGCCTTAAGATACCTTTAACACACCGACTCAAATCGAACCATCTTACGATAGTATAGAGTTTAGGCTTAAACACCCTGTATCATATCAAGTGTGGCTTATGCCAATACGGCTAGCCTTAATTTACAATTGGACACGCATGTGGATCAGCTCTCTACGATATAGTTACATTCAATTGCGCTCTGCACAGCAGGTAAATAACACTTTCGAGTATATATTCAAATATAGTATTCATGTAATCGTATTCGTATGCCGTATATGCGATCTATAAGTGTACGTGCTATGTGGCATGCATATTGCACTATTCCTCAATGGCTGCTTGACTGGCTGGCTGGCTGCGGACCTGGATCGCGTTGCGATCTGGATCTGAAGTGGGTCTAGATGGTGTGCACCCGCAGGTGGTTTTGCAGCGTGCTCTTTTGCCGGAACTGTTTGGGGCAGAAGGAACAGTTGTAGGGCTTTTCGCCGGTATGGATCTTCATGTGGTTGTTGAGCGTGGCCACCTGCCGGAAGTTGACCTCGCAGATCTTGCACTTGTACGGCTTCTCTCCGGTGTGCGTCTTGATGTGATTCACCAAGGTGCTCTGCTGCGAGAAGAACCGCTGGCAGACGCTGCAGCCGAACGGTCGATCCGGATTGTCGCCCTTCAGCATGTTGATGGTGCCCACCACGGTCATCCGGCCCGACGGCGAACCGCCCGCCTGGAAATGCTCCACCTTGGTGTTGGCCGCCGCCGTGGCCACTACCGAGCTGACAGTGGTGCTGCCGTCGAGGAAATGCAGTAGCGGATGGTGGTCCAGCTGGATGATGTTCGCCGTGCTGCCGTGCAGGTTGTTCGGCAACAGCCCACTGGTCAGCTGTTGAGTCCCGGGTGCCAGAGGAGCGGGCATTGAGTGATCCACTGCAGGTTGGCGGTACGGAGTTGGATTGTTGGATGGTTTGTCGAAGTTAGCATGCGTACAAGATTTAAATAAAAGCTTCGTTAGGGAAGAGCGTTAATAATCAATGCACACAGTGATAACAGAAAGCGGCTCATTGGTAGGGCGAACACACAAGCGGCTCACCTGTGGCTGTGACGGCGCCTCCGCCGCCTCCTGCTCCACCGGCGCCTCCAGGCGCGATCTGATGCGTGTGCGTCTTGAGGTGGTTGGTAAGGGTGCTCTGCTGGCGGAACTGCATGTGGCAGTAGGAACACGTGTACGGCTTGTCGCCCGTGTGGATCTTCTTGTGGTTGGCCAGTGTCGCCAGCTGGCTAAAGGACTTGTCGCACGTTTCGCATTTGTACGGCTTAGGATCGATGTGGGTTCGCTCGTGGTTGTGCAGCGTGCTCAGCTGCGGAAAGCGACGCTTGCAAACGCTGCACTGGTACGGCTTCACCAGCTCCTCGGCCGCCGGCGAGCTGTAGCTGCCGGAGTACAAGGTCTTTGAGATTTGGACGCGCTGATGCTGCTGTTGGTAGGCCTGGTGCATCTGGGACTTCCGGTGTTTTCCGCTGCCAGTCTGCGGCTGATAGTTCAACAGGGAAGTTGGCGTGCTGGACTCCGCCGCTGTTATCCGGAACCGATGCGAGAAATGAAATGAAGTCATAAGGTCTATTGGGGCGATGCGATCACACACTCACCCTTGTGCGTCTTGATGTGATTGATCAAGGTGCTCTGCTGGCGAAAGTCCTTGGCGCAGATGTTGCAGGTGAACGGCTTCTCTCCGGTGTGGATTTTCACGTGGTTGGTCAGCGTCGAGATCTGGCGGAAGGCCTTGTCACAGTGTTTGCACTTGTAGGGCCGTTCGTCCGTGTGGATCTTCATGTGGTTGCGTAACGTGGTCAGCTGCCGGAACTTGTTCTTGCACACGTGGCACTGTTTCTTCTTGCGCGGATCGTCTACCACCACCTCCTCCTCGCTAATGACGCTCTGCACCTCCTGTTTCATGGGCGAAATGGGCGTGTGGCTGCCCCCGCCTCCACCGACACTGTTCGCTGTGGTGGTGGATATGTCCAGCAAATGGACCAGCGGGTGCTGTGGATGGAGCATGGCTTGGTGGGTGGGATGCTGGATGGCCTGCACGGCTGTAAGTTGGTGCAGGGCAAAGGGACTCTGTTGCAGGCTGGCCAAGGTGGTTGGCTGCTGCTGTCCCGAATTGGGACCAGGTCCAGATCCACCATTGCTCCCTCCTCCACCGCCGCCTCCTCCTCCGCCGCCACCGCCATGAGAGGCTGGCAGTTGGTAGTGCTGATAGTTGGCCATGGCTGCCGTTGCTGCTGTCGCATGGTTCAGATGCATGATATTCGAGAGATATGATCCTAGCGCGGATCTACAGTCTGCCCATCGGCGGCGTTACACAATGGCGGCCACCGACGACCCTTGGCCATTCCCCGCCCCCGCAGTTGCTCCCACTGCAGCTCCCTTTGGGGCCTTATTTGATTTGTTATTTCAGCCGTCTGGTTTGCACTTCTGTGTACTTTTGCTGGGCTGCTGCTTCTTCTTCTTCTCTTCTTCCACACGCTGCTTACGCTTCCACGTAGTGATTGGGGGTGCTCAATCCGCTGCCACTTTGTCGCGCACTACCCAACGATCAGTTCTAACCGTTTTCGCTCGGCTTCGGGCCGCTTTCTCCGCCGTTTCTGCAGTTTTTCCAGGCCACGCTCTTTTTGTATCCGTATCCTTATCAAAACAAAAATGACTGGCGTGGTTTTCCAGGGCTGAGCGAACGGGCAGAGCTGCACCCCCGCCGCACATCGAGTAATCGACCATCGGTAATCCAGGGCTGGTGGCGCTGAGGGGCCTATCACTGGGTGGGTCGATAACAGCTATCGATTATTTTGGGTAGTCAGTGCTGGCAGTTCAGCTGAGTTGCGCCTTAAGGTTGGTTATTATACAAATATCAACAACAGCGTCCTGCTATTATACCTACACACGATTAAAAAACAGCAATGTATCTTAAATTTTGGTTTGGTCACTTAGCTATAGTTTTTCAATTATTTGGCTTATCCTTGTTCAAGGGTTCATCATTTGTTGTAACCATTTTAAAGCTTTTATGTATGCGTTCCATCATATTCCATAAATAACTAAATTCATAAAATATTTAAAGGAATTTAATATATTCGGGTTGATCCTACAAATTTGATTTAAAGCCAATATCTAGCTATGTATGAGCAATGAAATTAAAAATCTAGCTAACTTGTAGCTGCTAGAGATAACCCATTCGTTAGCCTAGTCCTATCGATAGTTGTCAGCACTGATTGTTCAGCGTGTTTTGCTTGTTTGCGTAAAAGCAAAACAAAACATCAACGCAACGGGGAGAATTCATAATATTATCCCCAGTTTTGGACACCTTCACCGGAAGTGGTCAAGAGCCTTCCTAATCATGGGCGACTCCGACAAAAAGAAGGAAGAACATCTGACAACGAGCTCGAATTCCTCGTCCAGTGACGAAGGGGAGGCCCCAGGTTGGTCTAACTAGTTAGGTTTTTAGTGTCACTCATTAACTGAATTCAATTCTAGACGCCACAATGGATATGATTCGACGCTTCTTTGCAAACACTCTTAATCTGGGTGGCTCTACGGACGCAAAGGCAGACATTAAGGTGGAGAAGGTGAGCGGAGCTCCCGATAATTTGATTATCATATTAATTAAATTAATTAAATCGCATATTCGCAGGTTATTCCAGATTTGACTTTTGACGGCTTGGCCGAACATTGGCGTGAGCATGGATTCCGCAAGATTGTGACCATGGTGGGAGCCGGTATTTCCACATGTGGGTACATCTATATACATATCACTGTTGAATCCTACTAACATATGTATTGCCATCCTTAGCTGCTGGCATTCCGGACTTCAGATCCCCAGGTTCCGGGCTATACAGCAATCTAAAAAAATACAAGCTGCCACATCCGACGGCCATATT